TGGGGAAAGGGGCGTGTGGCAGCAGTGGCAGGAGTGGCAGCAGCTGACGACGTCATTAGTGCATATTTGTGGCTTTGTTTGCCGCAAAAGCGAGCGAGCAGCAGAGTAGGAGCACCTGGCCAAATGGCTGAATGGCCCAAAGGTGAAAGGTGAAAGGTTGAAAGGTGGCCGTTGGCCAGGCAGGAACATGCTCAGAATAATCATTGCAAAATTGCAAATCGCCCAGCGAAAGTGCCGAGGGACTGCAGGTCCTTTATCCGGCATAAATGCACTGAGTGTAGACCCTAAATGTGGCAAGTTTCCAGGACTCAGTTTCCCCAATTCCCTGATTCCTCGATTCATTGATTCCCTAAACCCCCGATCCCCGATCCACATATGGATTAAAGCAGCGGCTGAATCTGGCGTCTTTTACTTGGAAAAGTTATGTGAATCGAGTGATTAGTATGTAAACATTCATTTTCATATTTACTTGTCGAAGATATTTGTCTGTCGATTAACACTGCATCGCACTAGCAACTTTTCTTGCACCTACACAAAATCAAACATATTAATACACCTAATGTTATTGTTTATAAAATCAATTGTCGCTTCGTAAACTTAGCAATTAATATATTTTAGTGTGTTGAGAAAGCAGATTTAAAATAATTGATCATTATTTAAGCGTGTGGCACTTGCAACGAGCAAAATGGCAACCTAGTTATTCCATATGCATAAATGAAATTTAAGAGGGCTAACCACAAGCGGCTGCCGAGATAGTTGATGGCTCAGACAGAGCGCAGTCGGCCATGTAAATCAATTAAAATCCTCTGGCTGGGAAGGTCCTGGCGCCAGGACGAAACACGGAGTTGCACGCTGCTGGACCAGCAATCAACTATCAATGCACATGGCCGCAAATGTCTCAAGGGCAGGGGAATGTGGGTGGTGCGAAAATAGATGAAGACAATGTGCAATCTGTGAGCTGTTAGCTGCGGGCAGGGTACTCGCATTTCGGTCCTCTGGCAGGTTTTACAAAACCACCAATTTTGGTCAGGACCTCCCCCAAAATGTCAGTCCCTTCAGTCCCTTAGTCACCCGGACTAAGTGACAATAAATACGAAAGTTGGGCCATCGGCAAAAGAGTTGTCAATGCAGCACCGTCCGACGTCCTCTGCATGAACTGCATTCTGATGAGTTCTGGAAAATGAGTGGAGAAATTCTGGCAGGCGGGAAGTTGGGGAAAAGCGGGAAAAGCCAGCAGCGCACACCATCAAATTATGCCACACTCAATTGGCCCTCAAGTGCGCTAGCCAACTTTTGTTCTGCCCTCAAAGGGAGTCCTTTTTGAATGCTCGATGGTTGCCACATTGAAGGATTGGCTACCATACAGAGAACTAACGATAAAATATTATTATATAAATAAATGTAATATTTCGATTTCTGGGCAAATAAGTTAACATTATTCCCGATCTTACATATACACGTAAATTGCTTGATTCTTTCGTTATTATACCCGTTACTCGTAAAGTAAATGGGTAGATGTTGTAGAAATTAAAAAAAATTAAGAAATGTCCCAAGGCTGAAGTTCTCAATTCCATAACTCGACTTATCTTAATCGGATTTTATAGTGGCATGCATCTAAATGTTTCTGGAGCAATTCTCTAAAGAACTGCATTCAAATTTAGAATTTTATTTTTTTTAATTTTTTTTTGTAATTTTTCTGATGTATGATGTTGTAGAAATTCAAAAATGTCCCATGACTGAAATTCTAAAGTCCATAACTCAGCTTATCCTAATCGGATTTTGATGTGGCATACCTCTAAATGTTTCTGGAGCAATTCTCTAAAGAACTGCATTCAAATTTAGAATTTTATTTTTTTTTAATTTTTTTGTAATTTTTCTGATGTATGATGTTGTAGAAATTCAAAAATGTCCCATGACTGAAGTTCTAAAGTCCATAACTCAGCTTATCCTAATCGGATTTTGATGTGGCATACCTCTAAATGTTTCTGGAGCAATTCTCTAAAAATCTGCATTCAAATTTAAAATTTAATTTTTTTTCTAATTTTTTGTAATTTTTCTGATGTATGATGTAGAAATTCAAAAATGTCCCATGACTGAAGTTCTAAAGTCCATAACTCAGCTTATCCTAATAGGATTTTGATGTGGCATACCTCTAAATGTTTCTGGAGCAATTCTCTAAAGAACTGCATTCAAATTTAGAATTTTATTTTTTTTAAATTTTTTTGTAATTTTTCTGATGTATGATGTTGTAGAAATTCAAAAATGTCCCATGACTGAAGTTCTAAAGTCCATAACTCAGCTTATCCTAATCGGATTTTGATGTGGCATACCTCTAAATGTTTCTGGAGCAATTCTCTAAAGAACTGCATTCAAATTTAGAATTTTATTTTTTTTTTAATTTTTTTGTAATTTTTCTGATGTATGATGTTGTAGAAATTCAAAAATGTCCCATGACTGAAGTTCTAAAGTCCATAACTCAGCTTATCCTAATCGGATTTTGATGTGGCATATCTCTAAATGTTTCTGGAGCAATTCTCTAAAGAACTGCATTCAAATTTAGAATTTTATTTTTTTTAAATTTTTTTGTAATTTTTCTGATGTATGATGTTGTAGAAATTCAAAAATGTCCCATGACTGAAGTTCTAAAGTCCATAACTCAGCTTATCCTAATCGGATTTTGATGTGGCATACCTCTAAATGTTTCTGGAGCAATTCTCTAAAGAACTGCATTCAAATTTAGAATTTTATTTTTTTTTAATTTTTTTGTAATTTTTCTGATGTATGATGTTGTAGAAATTCAAAAATGTCCCATGACTGAAGTTCTAAAGTCCATAACTCAGCTTATCCTAATCGGATTTTGATGTGGCATACCTCTAAATGTTTCTGGAGCAATTCTCTAAAGAACTGCATTCAAATTTAGAATTTTATTTTTTTTTAATTTTTTTGTAATTTTTCTGATGTATGATGTTGTAGAAATTCAAAAATGTCCCATGACTGAAGTTCTAAAGTCCATAACTCAGCTTATCCTAATCGGATTTTGATGTGGCATACCTCTAAATGTTTCTGGAGCAATTCTCTAAAGAACTGCATTCAAATTTAGAATTTTATTTTTTTTTTAATTTTTTTGTAATTTTTCTGATGTATGATGTTGTAGAAATTCAAAAATGTCCCATGACTGAAGTTCTAAAGTCCATAACTCAGCTTATCCTAATCGGATTTTGATGTGGCATACCTCTAAATGTTTCTGGAGCAATTCTCTAAAAATCTGCATTCAAATTTAAAATTTAATTTTTTTTCTAATTTTTTGTAATTTTTCTGATGTATGATGTTGTAGAAATTCAAAAATGTCCCATGACTGAAGTTCTAAAGTCCATAACTCAGCTTATCCTAATCGGATTTTGATGTGGCATACCTCTAAATGTTTCTGGAGCAATTCTCTAAAGAACTGCATTCAAATTTAGAATTTTATTTTTTTTTAATTTTTTTGTAATTTTTCTGATGTATGATGTTGTAGAAATTCAAAAATGTCCCATGACTGAAGTTCTAAAGTCCATAACTCAGCTTATCCTAATCGGATTTTGATGTGGCATACCTCTAAATGTTTCTGGAGCAATTCTCTAAAGAACTGCATTCAAATTTAGAATTTTATTTTTTTTTTAATTTTTTTGTAATTTTTCTGATGTATGATGTTGTAGAAATTCAAAAATGTCCCATGACTGAAGTTCTAAAGTCCATAACTCAGCTTATCCTAATCGGATTTTGATGTGGCATACCTCTAAATTTTTATGGAGAAATTCTCTAAAGAACTGCATTCAAATTTAGAATTTTATTTTTTTTTAATTTTTTTGTAATTTTTCTGATGTATGATGTTGTAGAAATTCAAAAATGTCCCATGACTGAAGTTCTAAAGTCCATAACTCAGCTTATCCTAATCGGATTTTGATGTGGCATACCTCTAAATGTTTCTGGAGCAATTCTCTAAAGAACTGCATTCAAATTTAGAATTTTATTTTTTTTTAATTTTTTTGTAATTTTTCTGATGTATGATGTTGTAGAAATTCAAAAATGTCCCATGACTGAAGTTCTAAAGTCCATAACTCAGCGTATCCTAATCGGATTTTGATGTGGCATACCTCTAAATGTTTCTGGAGCAATTCTCTAAAAATCTGCATTCAAATTTAAAATTTAATTTTTTTTCTAATTTTTTGTAATTTTTCTGATGTATGATGTTGTAGAAATTAAAAAATGTCCCATGACTGAAGTTCTAAAGTCCATAACTCAGCTTATCCTAATCGGATTTTGATGTGGCATACCTCTAAATGTTTCTGGAGCAATTCTCTAAAAATCTGCATTCAAATTTAAAATTTAATTTTTTTTCTAATTTTTTGTAATTTTTCTGATGTATGATGTTGTAGAAATTCAAAACTGTCCCAAACCTGAAGCTCTAAAGTCCATAACTCAACTTTTTTTAATCGGATTTTGAAGTGGCATACCTCTAAATGTTTCTGGAGCAATTCTCTAAAGAACTGCATTCAAATTTAGAATTTTTTTTTTTTTTATTTTTTTTGTAATTTTCCTGATGTATGATGTTGTAGAAATTCAAAAATCATCCATGACTGAAGTTCTAAAGTCCATAACTCAGCTTATCCTAATCGGATTTTGATGTGGCATACCTCTTAATGTTTCTGGAGCAATTCTCTAAAAATCTGCATTCAAATTTAAAATTTAATTTTTTTTCTAATTTTTTGTAATTTTTCTGATGCATGATGTTGTAGAAATTCAAAAATGTCCCATGACTGAAGTTCTAAAGTCCATAACTCAACTATTCTTAATCGGATTTTGATGTGGCATACCTCTAAATGTTTCTGGAGCAATTTTCTAAAAATCTGCATTTAAATTTAGGAATTCATTTTTTTTTTAATTTTTTTGTTTTTTTTTTTTTTGATATTACGATGTTGTTGAAGTTCACTATAGCATTCCATCTTGCTTTTTATCTTGTTTTTAAATTTTAGAAATGGACGAATTTTAATGGGCATTCATTCATTTTGGAACAAATGGCGTTTCTACAATCGCTTTTGTGAACTGTATAAAATTACAAAATATACAACAAAACAGGGTCAAAATATATATAATAAAGAGGTTTGTTCGTCGGACGTGTGCTGAACATTTAGCATCCTCCAGACCTAAGGTTGCTTGGGTGCCCTTTACTAATTGATTGCATGATTAATGGAGCAAGTGCTCCTCCCCAAAGGATCCTTCGTCCTTATCAGGCCCCTCGAAGTCCCGCTTTATCGGCAGCCCGTTTCGCACCTTAATGATCCTCGGCTTGTCCTTGCGCTCTTTACGTCTCTGTAAGGACTTTACAGTGAGGCCCAGGACAACGCAAGCCACGGTGGCCGCACCCACGCACATCAGAGCCTTGTGGGCGGGGCGCATGTTGCCCAAATTGCTGCCCAAGCTCACCAGGTTCCCCAGGCTGCCAAGTCCTCCAAATCCTCTGGGCGTAAGTCGAGGCAGTAGACCAAGCTGATCCGTCAAGTTGGACAGGAACTGTGGGTAGTCAGACATCCTCGATACTGCAAGAAATATGTAGCAATCCAATTAATGTCAATAATTATGAACACGATATGATCAATGAAATGGTTTTAAAAACAAAACACCTTAAATAGGTGGGTTGCTTTCGGTAGACTAGCGAACGAACATGGTTACTTGAACCGAGCTGCACAATCTGAGCCAATTTGATGGCCGATCGCCTGGCAGCATTTGTTTTACTTGAACACCTCACAGTGCTGAACCACCAAACCCATAACCAAACCTCCTCCTTCTCGTTGCAGTTCATCCGGTCATCCAAGTGCCGAATCAATTAGTCGGCGCACCACTTGGCACTGATGTCCAAATCGAGTGTCACGTCGAGGCCTCGCCCAAATCAATTAACTACTGGATTAAGGACACGGGTAAGTGAGTGCGAGCGGAGGGCCGAAACCAGTCTGCCGATATATGTATATATATATATATATATATATATGCGAATATATATATGTATGGACACATATATGTATATATGCCTATACGGACTGATGGGTACACACATCTATGCAGATGTCGGACTCTGGGGCCGAACGCATCATTACTCCAACATCGATTCGAATCGAAGCGCTTGGCATTGTCATTAGTCAGTTGTCAGATTGCGGCACGTTCGCTCGTTGCAGGTGGTGCAGTTTTGATGGCGGAGGTCCGGGGATTCCCAGTACACGGTACCAGACTCTATCCCCCGGAATACACTAAAATGTCAAGCCTTTTGCAGTACGTAGTACGCCTGTTGTGCGTACTGCGCACTGAACTAGTTGAGGGGTCACACAAGAACTGTTTCCTAAGATTACGCATTTACTTTTCACTCACCGAAGTTTCCACGGTAGAGTTTCCTTGGGGAGATATTCGTATTCTTGAACGAAACTGGTTGAGCTGTGCACTACAGGAGAAAATATAATGATATTAACTTGGTGACCCGTACGAAATACTGACATTTGGCAGACTGTGAGTCACAGCTTGCTTTATATCGACATGATTTCGACATACGCACCGAGTTATATTTAGAATTAGGAAGGACAATTTATATCCAATTTATCCATGAATGAAGAATTGTCAAAACCGAACTACATGTATGAAAACCATCCTCTAGGTGAGATGATTGTGACATCCGGCAAGTATCATGTGCAGGAGAGCTCCCAGTCCATGTACGAGACCAAAATGTCAATGATAGTCAGGAAGTTCCAGAAGGACGATGTCGGATCCTATCGCTGCATTGCCAAAAACTCACTGGGCGAAGTCGACAGCAGTATCCGCTTATACGGTGAGTTTTTCTGCACCTCGTCATCAATGTGCAATAAACGAGGGCCAAACAGCATAGGTGTAAAAATTAGGGCCATGCCATGGGTTTTGAAAAAAAATTCCGATGCAGTGAAATTAAAATTTGCGCAGCAAACTTCATTTATGAAATATTTGTGTTTAAATGTTGTATCATTTCATTCAGCTAGTCAAAGGGAAATGTATACAAGATTTAAAGTGTTGATTTTTCCATTCACATTGCTATTCACGTGGTCTCCATTGTTTGGCCTGGAATCCGCGAAATGGGACGTATTTGCACCTTTGTTTCAATTACATTTTCTCATTCGCTCCTTTGTTTTTCCGTTTTTTGTTTTTTTTTCTCGCTGCTTTCCAGAAATCCCCGGACCGAATCGCAATAAAAATCCGCTGAACGGCGGCGGAAAAGGTGGTGGAGCGGGCGGCGGATTGGGCGGAAGCTTGGATGCGGATGCCAATGACATTTTGAAGCAGAAACAACAAGTCAAAGTCACCTACCAGCCGGAGGACGATGAGCTGCAGTACGGATCCGCCGAGGATTTCGAGGCGGAGGGAGGCGAGGGCGGCGGCCTGACGCCGTTATCGCCGCACGTTTACTACACCAGCGGCAATAAACCGGCCACACATAAGCCGGGCAACTCCGGCGGCAATCAGCATCAGCATCAACATCAGCAGCACCACCATCACCACCACCACAACAACAACCAGCAGCACGGTGGTGGGGCAGGTGGCGGCCCAGCTGGCGGTGGGTCGGGTTCACCTGGTGGCGAAATGGGGGGCATCACCCGCAAGCCACCGCCATATTACGGCGGCAATACGGAAGTGCGGGGCCCCATTGACAACAACGAAATGAGCTCCGGCTCCGGAGACTCGCGACTGCGTCGGGGTCACCACTTACCCATTCTACTCCTACCGTTCGCGCGGCTCATCCTGGCCAGAAGTTGGCACTGTCGACAGCCGTTCTTAATGGGCTTGTCGACCCTGTCCGGCCTTCTGCTCAGCCTCTTATAATACGCAGTCTAATGGAATCACCAGCGCATTCAACAACCGACTCAACAACACATGACTGCAGCGAAGAAAAAAGGTGGTCTTGAGGACTCCACCACGAGACATCCATCAGGCACACCCATTATCAATCGAAAAGCCAGTTGCAGTGTGTAACACTCAGTTTAAGGATATCAACAACACTTTCATCAACACACATCGGCAGCCCAGAAAACACATACAATGGAGTAAATTAAACGCAGTCTAAAAACTTCGACAACGAAACACAACACACATTATAAGGTTTGTAATTCACTGTCCTAGGGACTTCGAACACATCACAATACTTCAACTAACAGTCTTTAAATCACTAACCCCCGATCAGATAACACAATTGTTACGTGTGAATAGTCCAAGGGACTAAGCATCTAACTACATTCTTGCCAAACACTAGACAACACTTTCACCAACAAATGTTTTAGTGTGTACAGTTCGCAGGGACTAAACATTCACCGATCGTTCAACAACGACACTTTCACAGACAGTTTCTCAATCGTAATGAGAACGCGTACATAAAAACAAACATGTTGTAGTAGAAAATGTTAAATTGTTTATAACATTAATGAAAAACAAAAAAAAAACAAACAGGGATGGTATTTGGATGCATCCATATTTAGTGAATGTAATTAACGCAAGAATTTCTAGTGTTACTGAGACATTTTTAAGGGGGTTGCACGGTTAATGAATCACAGCTAGCCTAAGGTAAAATGGTACCCTAAAGCATTTACAGTGTACCCGGCACTGAGAAAAAATCAGAGCCCGATTTGGGACATCTCGTTATTTTTTTTTCAGAGCATAAATATGAAAGGAATTTTAGGAGTAACAAGATAGCCAGATAGGAGAAAACGCTTGATATTTATTGCTTTCAAGTCTACAACTTTGGCTATACTCATTATTAATCAAACCTTTTTCGTTGATTTTTCTCATTTATATTTGGTGGCTGGCACACCTTTTTGCCAATTTCCAATTTCCCAAACCGATTTACAAAACTCTTGAAAGGTCAATTAATATAGAAAAGTAACACAGAACAAGGGGAGCAATTTCTTTTACTTTGCGTTTGTCATTCGTTAATTTTGGCTACTTCTGACTGACTTTTGTTGATTTCTTCAACTTTGATTGACACTTGTGAGGTTCCAACAAAAGGGTGTGACTTTATGATAAATAGACCCAGAAATTTTTTCTAATTTATTTTTTGTTGTCAGCAGTTTTGTTAATTGTGTGTTGCTGCTGTACCTTTAAATGAAACGACATTTCCTATTTTCATGCAAATGATTTGCACACCAACTGCGATGCCCTTTAACCCCTTCATACACTGCTTGTAACCCCGTCTTACCAACTATTTCTTGGTGTTTGCCAAAAGTTTTTCTTTCCCTTTGCTTTATTTCCCAAAGTCTTTGCAGAGGAGTGTTTTTTCTTTTCTTTATTTTGTGTTTTATTTTATTTGTTTTATTTTTTGTGGCAACGTCTTGTCTTTGCAGCTGAGTTTGTGTGTGTTTATGCGTGTTATGTATGTGTGTGTGTGTGTTCTTTTTTTTCTTGCAAATGTGTGTGTGGCAGCTGTGGGGCACAAGTTGTGGACACAGAAAACTCTCGGCTCCCATCTGCGTTGCATTTGCTTTTGATGAATTACTTGCATGTCAGTTAACCACACACACATATCACACCCACACAGCTACGTTTTTAATGAAATGAAAACTTTTTGGCAAAGTGAATTTCATTGTAAGCATACCCAAACCTCGAGACCTCCCCCAAAAGCCCAAAACCCAAAACAATCCTCTGCCAGAACTTAAAACTAAAATAAAAAAACACAACGAGACTGCTACAAATATACAAAACCGCCAAAAGCTGCCACTGATGATGATAATAAGACGCTGACAACCGCAGCAACAGCCAAATGAACATCGACGGCAAAAGGCGGCAGCAACCCAAATAAACATGTCACCAAAGCTGGGCCAAAATGTGGGGGTGTCTTAGCCACGTTGACACAAGTGCTTCAAATTACACGGACCCCCAAGAAAAGGAAGCCAAGCAGCAACGTACAACATCGAGAACTAGTCAACCGGCAGCAACATTTTTCCTGATGTTGCAAGTTGCTGCTTCTGCAGTTGCTGCTGCTGCTGCTGCTGCTGCAGTTGCTGCTGCCATGTTGTTGCTGCTCGGGTTGATGTTTGTGTCAGTCTCCTCATGTTGCTACAGGAAAAGCTGTGCTAAGCATTTACATTTGGTTTAAATACTTAAATGATTGTTGTTTCAGAGCGGCTTTTGGTTGAGTGGCAAAGGAGACATTTTTAATAATTTATAACACTTTGTTTTATGTCTGAGGCATTGCTGCTACCAAACTCATTTTAATTTAATAGCCATTTTAGTTCAAAGCCAACACATGGTTTAGAAATGCGGAAACATACGGCTTACAGACCTAAAATTCGTAATCTCTTTCGTTTTCCTGATGTTAAGAGCTGTAATTGAACTACGCAAACATGTAGCTTCAAAGAAGAACATTAGTATCGCAAGTATATCTACATTTCTGCTCCAATTTGGTTGGGTTATTTCCATTATTGGTGCAGTTGTTGCCACACGGACTAATTCTGAGGATGGTGTTGCTGCGGGGATGTTGCAACTGCCACTGAAGTTGCTACTGTTTGTTTCAGTCTGCAGCAGCTTCTTTTGTTGTTATCCCTGATGATGCTGCTGTTGCCACATTTGGTGCCTTTAAAATCGCGCATCCTTTGTTGTCCTTTGTTGCGCTGCGTAAATAGCACAACAAATATAAATACACAGCAGCAATAATGCCAGACAAACATGCACAAAAGGACAATCACAGTGGGAGAAATTGTGGTTAAATCGAATAGTTTTTTAATAATGTTTTTATCATTTGTTCATGTAGGTCTTACCAAACATGTTCTGTTATAAAATAGTAAACCTTATTTGTCTGTTTACTTCTGTTGAATGACAACTCAGACTTATCTATATCTATTTTTAACTTTGTCTCCGTAGACCTTTTTCCCAGTGTACGTGTGCATTTTGCTGCTTATGATTGTTATGGAGCCACAGTTTGAGTTGTTTTTTGGGGCTTTCCGCGACACTTGTAATCAAGTTTTCCCGCGCACAATGGTGTGTGTGCGTGTGAGTCCTGCCGTCTCTGTCTATCCAAGTGTTGCCTACTTTTGTGGGCGGTGGAAAACAGCGCGTTGAGTGGGCGTGGCGGGAGGAGAAGCGCTTAATTGCTCTATTTGATGCCGTCAAATTGTATTTTAATTTCGCATTTCCCTTTTTATCATTCCTGCTGTGACTGCTTTCCTTAAGTTGCTTTTGTTTTGGAGCTGGGGAATTGGTTTTAATATGCGACGAAGAATCTCTCTAATGTGTTTCCTGGCGAATTTTTCTTTACAAATATTGGTTTTACAACATTACATTTCCCTCAGATAGTTTCCAATGATTTTCCGAGACTTGCTGTACCTTAGTAATACTTTGTAGGCACATTTCTAGGCCATACTCATCATGAGTTATATCTGGCTTCGTCATAATTTTGGTGTCCATTCTTTTGGCGTTCTTTTTTCAA